CAAGTATAATTAATTAAAGCAAATAAACAAACAAGTATAATTAATAAACAAATATAATTAATTAAAGCAAATAAACAAACAAATATAATTAATAAACAAGTATAATTAATTAAAGCAAATAAACAAACAAGTATAATTAATAAACAAATATAATTAGTTAAAGCAAATAAACAAACAAGTATAATTAATAGAATATAATAAATAATAGAAGCAAACAAAACAAACAAAACAAAATAAAATAAAATAAAATAAAATAAATAAAAACAGAGTGCATGCATCCCTACGCTTTGTCTTTGTCTCAAGTCCCACAGCATAACTTTGCCGTCTCTTCCTCCTGTAACAGCAAGTGCAGCATTAGGGTGTATGTACACTGTATTAACTGCGCTTTCGTGTGCTGCTGCTCTCCAGATGAAGCGAGTTAAGCTGCTGCTGTCCCACGCACATAAACCGCCGTCAAAGTGCCCTGAAAGCAAACACACACACTTACAAACTGACTCCTGCTCCTGCTGCTGCTGCTGCTGCTGTGGAAGCTGCTGTGGATGCTGCTGCTGTGGATGCTGTGGATGCTGCGGATGCTGCGGATGCTGCGGATGCTGCTGTTGCTGTTGCTGTTGCTGCTGCTGCTGTGGATTTTGATGCTGCTGCTGCTGCGGATGTTGTTGTTGTTGCTGCTATTGCTACTATGGATGCTACTGATGCTGCTGCTGCACCAGCTGCTGCTGATGTTGCAGCTGGTTCGGTACTGCTAACTACGGTAGTCTCTAATTGCTGCATCTCTCGCAGCAGTAGTAAGTGCTGCTGCTCTTACACCTTTTGCTGCTGCTGCTGCTGCTGTTGCTGTTGCTGCTGCCGTTGCTGTTGCTGCTGCTGCTGCTGCTGACCTGTAAGTACGACATTGGGTGCTGCGTTGCTGCTGGAGGCGGCCATACACTTGACACCATGCTGCGTTTGTGTTTGCTGCTGCTTCTTTAGCTGCCCCTGCTGCAGTTTGTATATTTCTATTGTGCCGCTTCTCTTAGGCTCTTCACCAGCAGCAAAGCAGCAAATGCTGCGAGGGATCCAACAGACTGCATGCGGTAAGTACGAAACAGAAGCAGCAGAGTGGTTTACTATTTGAGGAGCATCTAGGGTGTCCATTGTCTCCTTTTGCTGCTGCTGCTGCTGTTGCTGCTGCTGCTGATGCTGCTGCTGCTGCTGATGATGATGGTGGTGCTGCGGATGTTAATGCTGCTGCTGTTGCAGGTCTGCAGTTTCTGCAGGTCTGCTGCTGTAGATCTGCTGCTGCGGGTCTGCTGCTGCAGATCTGCTGCTGCTGCTGGTTCTGTCCCTGCTTTTTTGTTGCTGTTGCTGTCTGTTCTATTTTGCTGCTGCTGCTGTCTCCTTTCTGCTGCTGCTGCTGCTTCTGCTGCTGTCTCCTCTTCTCTGTAGGTGTCTCCCTCAGTTCTTGCTTTTTAATGCTTCTCTATTTATTTATTTATCTATCTATTTATTTATTTATTTATTTATTTATTTATTTATTTATTTTTGTCTGTGCCGCGTGTGTCTGTCTCTGTCTTTGTTTAGCAGCAGCGGCTCTCTCTCTTTTTCTTCTTCTTTTTTTTTTATTTTGTTTAAATTAAAACAAATAAAATAAACATAATAAAACAGATAAATAAATATATTAAAGCAAATAAATAATTAGTATGAAACAAATAAAGTCGCTACACGTTACTATAGCGGAGCCTTCAGGTGTACGCGCAGCTCTCTTATTTTTTCTGCTGTTAGCTGCTGCTTCTTCTCCATACAAACAAAACAACTATTCTATTTGCTGCTGTTGCTGCTGCTGTTGCTGTTGCTGCTGCTGTTGCTGTTGCTGTTGCTGTTGCTGTTGCTGCTGCTGCTATTGGTGGTCTGCTGCTAGCAGCAGCACCCGCACCTGTTTCCTCTGCTGGGCTTGAGGTGTACATACACCTGAATAGCAGCTGTGTTGTTTTAATGCATTTAAATAAAACAACAAATATTAAAATAACTGCAGCAGCAAACAGCAGCAGCAAGAGAGCGGAGGGGACGGCAGCAGAGTGGAGACACACACTCTGGAGACTGCCTGCTGCTGCTGCTGCTGCTGCTGCTGCTGCTGCTGATGTTTTTGTTTGAAGCAAAGGCATATTCACTTAAACATTTGCAGCAAATAAATAAAATAATAAATAAATTTATTTATTTCCTTTTATTTTATCTTTTAAAGATGTCTTCTGACTCAACAACCCACAACTCCGCGTAGGTGACCTCTCCCTTTCTGCTGCTGCTGCTGCTGCTGCTGCTGCTGTTGTTGCTGCTGTTGCTGCTGCTGCCGCGGTGCTAAATAAATAAATAAATAAATAAATAAAGACAGAGACAGAGAGATACGCCATCCAATGCTAACAAACGCTTTAACACCGCAGCAGCAGCAGCAGCAACAGCAGCAGCAGTATATAAACAAATAAAAAATATTAATAGCATAAATACACTATAATAATTAATAATAATAATAATAACAGCAATAATAATAATAACGCTAATTATATATATACATATATATGATTATATACGCAGTCCACATATACTTATTTATTTATAATATAAAACAAAAATTGACAATATAAACGTCAGCAGCAGCAGCAGCTGCTGCTGCTGATGTTGCTGATGTTGCTGCTACTGTCCACGGCACAGGGAATCTAAAGCAGCAGCTGCTATATATATTGCTGCTGCTGCAGTATTGCTGCTGCTGTTGTATTGCTGCTGCTGCACTATTGCTTCTACTGCTGTCTTGGTGCTATTACTGCATTGCTGCTGCTGCTGTATATTGCTGCTGATGCTGCATTGCTACTGCTGCTGTATTTTTGTTGCGGCCGCTGTCTTGCTGCTGCTGCTGCAGCGTTGCTGCCACAGCATTGGCAGTATAACTGCTGCTGTTGTCTCGCTGCTGCTGCAGTGTTACTGCTTCTGTAATATTACTGCTGCTGCTGTATTGCTGCTGCTGTTGTATAGCTGCTGCTACTGCTGTATTACTGCTGCTGCTGTATAGCTGCTGCTACTGCTGTATTACTGCTGCTGCTGCAGTTGCTGCTGCTGCTGCTGCATTGCTGTGGCAGCTTTATGAGGAAGTGCAGTGTAAATGGCTTTCGCAGCCAAAAGCATTTCCAAGTGTACAGACACCTGACGCAGCAGCAGCAGCAGGAGCAGCTTCTGCTGCTGCAGTTGAAGCTGCTGCTGCTGTTGCTGCTGCTGCTGCTGCTGCTGTTGCAGCAAATCAAATGGAGGGCCTATCGCACCTCATTTCTCCATCATCGGAGCTGTCTGTCTCCTCTTGCTGCTGCTGACTTCCTGCAGCCAGCAGCAGCAGAGCTGTTGTTGTTTGCTGCTCCTGCTGCGGCACAAATCTGCCTTGGAGGAGCTCGTGCTGCTGCTGCAGCTGTTGCTGCAGCTGCTGCTGCTGCGTCGCAGGCTGCAGCCGCTGCTGCAGCACCACAGCAGGCAAATCCACCAAATGGGCCTGTTGCTGTGGCTGCTGCTGCTGCTGCTGCTGCACAAAGAACCTGAAGTCGTTGTTGACTGTATGACATGAGGCAGCAGCAGTTGATGTTGCTGCTGCTGCTGCGCCAGACATACCTGCAGCTGTAGGAGAAGTTGCCGCAGACTGCTGCTGCGCGCCGTTAGTCGCTGCTGCTGCTGCTGCTGCTGCTTCACCGAGTGTATCGGCATCCCATTCTGTGTCTTTCTTGATTTCATCGAAGAAACTGCTGTTCCGCAGTGGAAGCTGCTGCTGCTGCTGCTGTTCCTGCTGCTGCTGCTGCTGCTCCAGCGGGAGTGAGGAGCAGTGTGTGGAGAAGCTGCTGCTGTGTCTCACACTGTACAAGCCTTCTTGCTGCTGCGGTTTGCGGTGCTGCAGCTTTTGCTGCTGCAGCTGCTGCAGCTGCTGCCGCATCTTCTCCGGCCACAAATACTCGCAGAGGAATGGGTTTGCTGCAGCAGCAACCGCAGCAGCAAGATCGGCTTCAGGCTTGGCTTGCTGCAGCAGCTCCGCCCGCTGCTGCTGCAGCAGGAAACCCAGCGGGGTGCCTCCGTTGGCTGGGGACCTGCTACTGCGTGTGCTGGTGCTGCTGCTGCTGCTGTCGCTGCTGCAGCAGCGGCATGCACTGCTGTTGCTGCTGCTGCTTGTCGAGCTGCATCTGCTGCTGCAGCAACCTACGGAGCGTCGCCGCAATCCCCCATCTGCAGCAGAAGCGCAAGACACAAATGCTGCCTTTTGATATACTAGCAGCAGCAGCAGCAGCAGAAGCGGAAGCGACTATCGAGCAGCAGCAGCACACAACCAGCAGCAGCAGCAACGATGACAGCAGCAGCAAGTGAAGCAACCGCAGCAACCAGTAGGCAGGCGTTATGAAAGAGTGTGCAGTGCTGTTGTTGCTGCTGCTTCTGCTTCTGCTTCTGCTTCTGTTGCTGCTTCTGCTGTTCTTACCCATCTTCCAGTGTTGCAGCGAGCCTTGCTGCTGCAGCGTGCTGCTGCTGCTGCTGTCCTCAGCTGCGTCTTTGAATGCCCCTTCAGACATACGGCACACACTGCGCGGCTCTGCTGCTGTTGCTGTTGCTGCTGCTGCTGCTGCTGCTTCCTCTGCGCGGGCAGCAGCAGTTGGAGACCAAGACGCAGCAAGGGAGCACCGCAGCAGCTGCCGCAGCGGAGGCTGCTGCTGCTTTGCAGAGCAGCTGCGGCGGTAGAGCCCTAAGACGCACTGCAGCAGCTGCAGCACAGCAATCAGCAGCAGCAGCAGCGTAGACAGTGAAAGTTTGCCTCTGCACAAACCTAGACCAGGCTCAGCAGCAGCAGCAGCAGCAGCAACAGGCACCAGCAGCAGCAGCAACAGCAGCAACAACAGCAGCAGCAACAATAGCAGCAGCAGCAATAGCAGCAGCAGCGTCGCGCTGCTGTTTACGTACAGCTTGGGCGAGACACGGCTGGAAGGTGCCCGTTTGCTGCTGCTGCTGTTGCTGCTGCTCTGCAACAGCACGCAGCCACCGGCCCCCTTGCACTGTGAGGAAGCAGCAGATAGAACGGATAAAAACAGCAGTTGTGTATTTGCTGCTGCTGCTGCTGCGGCTGCTGCGGCTGCTGCGCTGCAGCAGCTGCTGCCCTGTGCTCAGATGCTGCAACAGCAGGATTAACAAAAGCTGCAGAGTGCTGGTTGCTGCTTCTGGCATCAGCTGCTGCTGCTGCTGCTGCTGCTGCCTCCGCCGCAGCCGGTGTCTTGCTATCTGCTGCGCGACGCTGCTGTTGCTGGGGCTCCTGTGGCTGCTGCTGCTGCTGCTCTTTCGCCCCACATGCCTGCTGTCAGAAGCAGCAGCAGCAGCAGCAGTTGCTGCTGCAGCCTTTACATCCACGTTGCATGCGCTGCTGCTGCTCGTGCTGCTGCTAAGGGACTCTGCAGCACCAACACCTGGCGCGTCAGCTGCAGCACTGGCAGCCGCTGCTGCTGGGAGTGTTGCTGCCCTCTCTCTCTGCTGCTGCTGCTGCTGCTGCTGCTGGTGAGAGGCTTGTGGCTGCTCCTTTTGCTGCTGCTGCTGCTGCTGCTGGTAAGCGCGCGAGTTCAGCAGCAAAGGAAACAGCCCCTCAGGGTCCTGCAGCAGCAGCCAACATGATGTCCGCAGCAGCTGCATGCGCAGCAGCGGGTCCTTGGCTTGTCTATGACGCAGCAGCAGCAGCAGCAGCAGCTCCTGCAGGTGTGCAGCAGACAAACGCCTCCGATACACCCCAACTAGCAGCTCCCACAGTGCTGCAGCTCGAAAGGAGACAGCAGCAGAGACATCACAGCGTGCTTGGAGGCAGCCTGCAGTGTACATAAGGAGGTTGTAGAGGGGCACCTGCTGCTGCTGCTGCTGCTCTTGCTGCTGCTGCTCTTGCTGCTGCTGCTGCTGCTGCTGCTGCTGGTCTACCACCTCCGGCGCGCATACAACAGCAAGAGCTACGCAGCAAATGCCTTCCTGCAGCAGAGCTTCATCATCTGTGCGCAGCAAAGCTGACAGCAGCAGCTGCAGCACAGCAGCAAATGTGCTGCTGCTGCTGAGAAAAGCCCTCGTCTCCGGATCTGCTGTGGCTCCCACTACTGCTGTTGCTGCTGCTGCAGCTCCCGTTGCTGCTGGTGTTGCATGCTGCTTCTCCGCGTCTGCAGAGACTGCTGCTGGGGTCGGCTGCTGCTGGCGCCGCTGCTGCTGCTCTTGCTGCTGCTGCTGCTGCAGATATGCTGCTAGGAGACAGCTCGAAAGCGCCTCGATAGCAGTGCACACCTCGTAAGGCGAAACTACAGGGGAAGGAGAAGCAGCAGCAGGCCGTGCTGCTGAAGTCCCCGCTCCCTCTGCTGCTGCTGCTGCTGCTGCTCCTGCTGCACCTGCTGCTGCTGCTCTTTGCCGCTGCAGCAACGCCCCCCGCTTCCTGTCTGCTGCAGCACACCGCTGCAGTCGCTGCGCTAGTGGCGGCAGCAACGCGCGGAAGAGCTGCACGCTGAAAACAGCAGCAGCAAGGACAGCAAGAGCAGCAGCAGCAAAGGAAGCAGCAGCATAAGATTAAACTAAGACACACTGTCCAGCAATAGCGGCAACAGCAGCAGCAGCAGCAGCACCACGAGAAGCTACAAAGCCCCACACCCCCCAAAAAATTGCTGCTCCTCCAGCAGCAGCAGCAGCAACTGGTGTAGCCTCCGCGGAAGCAGCAGCCATAGCAGCAGCAATAGCAGCAGCAACAGCAGAAGCCACAGCGCCAGCCACCGCAGCAGCGCAAGCGGTAGCTGCCGCACCAGCAGCCGCAGCAGAAGCCGGAGAAGCAGCAGCCAGAGCAGCAGCAGCAGCAGCAGCAGCAAGGAGTTGCAGCAGCCTCACTTGTGTCGCTGACAGACAACAGCAAGGATACGAAAGAGGCTCTGAATAGAGGGATTGCTGGGGGGGCGTCGTGCTGCTGCACGCAGCAGCAGCTGCAGCAGCTCTTCTAGAGAGCCCTCAAGGCAGAGCCGCTGCAGCACAGCAGCAGGAGTCACCAGCAGCACACGCTGCAGCAGCAGCAGCAGCAGCACCAAATAACTGGAGTCTCCGTTTAAGCTCCGCAGCAAACGCGGCACGGACAGCAAGAAGCAGCAGCAGCTGCTAGCAACAAAACCCTCATCCTTGCTGCAGCAGACGAAGGCCTCGAAAGCCACGCAGCCGCACAACCTGCAGCAGCAGCAGCAGCAGCAGCAGCGCAAGCAGAATCAGCTTACAGCCCTTCCCACAGGCGCAGTACCCCTCCCGATCCTCCACTTTCGCAGCAGCAGCAACAGCAACAGTAGCAATAGCCCGGGCCAGAGCAGCAGCAGCAGCAGCAGCATCAGCAGCAGTTGGGTATACCTGAGAAGCATAGGGTTCTTGTCGCCGCAGCAAGCCCCTAAGGCGAGGCGGGCAAGGGTCTCAACTTCTCCTGCATATTTGCGGTGTACGTACACCCGGAGCGCACAAGCCAAGAGAATGCAGCGGCAGCGCAGCAGCAGCGAAGGGATAGGACCTGGTGCTGCTGCTGCTGCTGCTGTTGCTGTTGTGTCTGCTGCTTCTGCTGCTTCTGCTGCTGTAAGCACATGTGCAATGCACTGTACGGATGTCTCTAATGCTGCTCCTGCTGCTGCTGCTTCCGCCTGTGTGCACCCCACTGCCCATAATGCTGCCTGAGAAGCAACAGCAACAGCAGCAACAGCAGAAGCAGCAGCAGCAGTTCGCGGCGGTTGAGGCGACGGCAGCGCATGCAAAACGCACGGCTAGCGGCAGCAGTAGCAGCAATATGCAGCAGCAGCAGCAGCAGAGGCACCAACAGAAAAACAGCAACAACTCCAACCTGAGCAGCAGCAGCAGCAGCAACAAAAGCAGCAGCAGCAGCAGCAGCCTCACCTCTGTAAGAGACCACCATGGGAGTTGCTGCTGCCGGCGCTCGGCGCTGATGAGCAGCAAAGAGTGTGCTGCTTCAGCAACAGAAGCAGCAACAACTTTCCGAGCTGCAGCAGCAGCAGCAGCACTTGCTGCATGATGAGCCCTTTCTTCTGCTGCGATGTCTCCCCAGCTGTTTGAGTGCGCGCACAAGCTGCTGCTGCTAACAGCCACGCAGCACTTGCTGCTGCTGCAGCAATCCGCAGCAGCAGCAGCTGCTGCTGCCCTGTCGAATGCAGCAGGACTCCCTGCGAATTCACCAGCAGCAGCAGCAGCATGTCCAGTTGCTGCTGCTGCGTCTCTGCAGCAATCATGAGAAGCAGCAGCAGGTGTCTCTAGAGCATGCAGCAGCTGCAGCACCACACGGCGCACAGACTGCCCAGCGAGCGCTTCCTCCTCATCGGCTTCCTGCTGCTGCTGCTGCTGCTGCTGCTGTTGCTGCTGCTGGTGTTGCTGGCGCCGCCACCGTCGTCTCGCGACTTCACCTGCTGCTGCTTCTGCTGCCGCTGCTGTTGCGGTGTCACTACAGCTCGCAGAAGAATAACCCAGATAATGCAGCTGCTGCTTGCTGTAGCCTTGCTGCTGCAGCAGCGCCTGCAGCAGCAACTGCTGCTCCGTTGTACTCCAATCTATGAAGCTGTTGGCGTTCTGCTGCAGCTGCTGCTCTTCTGCTGCTGACAACTGACAGTAAGGCAGCAGCAACGACAGCAGCAAAGTCAAACAAGGGGACGGCCTTGCTGCCGTTTCCTCTTCTGTTGCAGCACTAGCAGCAGCAGCAGCAGCAGCAGCAGCAGCAGCTTGCTGGTTCCCTTGTGCTGAAGGCACCGGCGCTCCATGGAGGCCCTCCGCTTCTGCAGGAGCAGCAGCAGCAGCAGCAGCTGCAGCAGGAGCAGGAGAATGCGCTGCTTCCTCGGTAGCCTCACGTGTTGCTGCTGCGGCTGTTCCTGCTGCTGCTGCTGCTGCTGCTGCTTCTGGCTCTAGCAATAGCGCTCTCGACTCAGGGAGACGGGCGCATTCTATAAAAAAGCAGATACACTGTATAATGAGGCAGCGGCCCGAAGTGCTGAGGGCATTGGAGGCTTCTGCTGCTGCTGCTGCTGCTGCTGCTGCAGCTGCTGCTGCTGCAGAGGTCTTGTTGGTGCCCGTATCTTGCTGCTGCTGCTCCTCTTCCCCCTCCTGCAGCAGCAACGCTTCGTAAGTGCAGAAGTATCGCTGCAGCAGCAAAATGCATGCATCTAGCAGCAGCGGCGCCACAGAAGCAAACTCGCTGCGCAAGCAGCCCTCCCAGCTGCTGCAGCAGCGACGCCCCGCTGCTGCTGCTGCTGCTCCTGCAGCAGCAGCAAACGGAGGAGCAGCCTTCAGGCAGGCCTCCGGCAACAGCAAACTATTGCTTTCTGAAAGAGTAGCAGCAGCTGCTGCCGTTCCCGTTGGCGGTGCTGCTGCCGCCGATGCTGTTGCTGCTGCTGCTGCCGCTGCTGCTGCTGGCGCTGCACCAGACAAAGGCGACTCTGGCGAAGCAGCAGAAGTGCTGCTAGTTGCTTCCGATGGGGCATAAAGACATCCCACCTCATCAACAGCAGCAGCAACAGCAGCAGCAGCAGCAGGTGCAGGTGCAGCAGGTGCCATGTCTGTTTCGAGTTGGGGGAGAAACGCCTTGCTGCTGCTGCTGCTGCTGCTGCTGCGAGGACGAGAAAGACGAGCAATGAGGACACAGCAACGGAGTGTCTGTACAGCTACCGTTAGGTGGCTCCCGTCTGTGAGGTGCATGCAGCTGCAGCGCAGCAGCAGCAGCAGCTGCTGCACCAAAGGGCGCAGGTGCTGCAGCAGAGCTGAGACCCAGCAGCAACTGCTGCAGCAGCAACATTGCTGCTTGTGCGCCTGTGCAGCCTCCAGCAGCTCTACGTACACCACCAAGCTAGCTGCTGATGTTGCTGTGTCCAATCGCGGCTTCTGCAGCAGCAGAAGCAGCAGCACCAACAGCAACGGCATGAAGCAGCAGCAGCAGCAGCAGGTGAGGCGGCAGCAGCAGCAACAAGCAGCAGCAGCGAGATGCCGCAGCAACAGCACCAAAGCTGACCCACAGGAAAAGCAACAGACAGTAAAAGCAGAGGCTGCAGAAGCATCAGCAGCAGAAACAGCAGCAGCAGCAGCAGCAGAAACAGCAGCAACAGCAGCAACGAACCTCAATCTGGAGTCGTCTTCGCGTCCGCTCAACAGCAGCTAAATGCGCAGGGGCAGCTGCTGCTGGGGTGCCCTCAGCAGCAGCAACAGCAGCAGCTGCAGCAAGCATCCCTGGTGCCAAGACGAGGTTATAGGCCTGCCCTCCCGCTGCAGTTTGCTGCAGCAGCTGCAGCAGCTGCTGCAGCCGCTCTTGCTGCAGCAGCAGAAAGTTGGGGCAGTCTCGCAGCAGCACCTGCAGCAGCCGCAAGGACGAGTGCAGCACGAAGCGCGCAGAATCGTATGCAGGAGCCTCATCTGCTGCTGCTGCTGCTGTTGCTGCTGCTGCTGCTCCTTCTGCTGCCTCGGCAGCTGCTGCCCGCCGCATCAACTCCTGCAAAACGCCACAGCGCAGCAGCAGCAGCAGCAGCACAAACACCGAGGCTTGAATCTAATACTGGCTGCAATCCGTCTTGCTGCTGTTGCTGCTGCTGCTGCTGCTGCTGCGGTTCTTCTTCGTGCTGCTTCTCGTTGCTGTTGCTGCTGCTTACCATCACCCGAAGCAGAGTCCGTTCAGTTAAGCTTTCTGCTGCAGTGCAGCAGCGCTGCCTTGAGTAGCAGCAACTAGCGCCAGAGCCTGTAGCAGCAGTACCTGCTAATGCTGCTGCTGCTGCAGCAGCTGCTGCTGCACTGTCCGACGGCGAAGGCTGCGGCCCTGTAGGCAAACCCCCCGTTGCTGCTTTAGAGCTGTTTGCTGCTGTTGTTTTTGCTGCTGCTGCTGCTACCTGTGTTGCAGCTGCTGCAGTGGCTGCTGCTGTTGCTTCGTCGGGTTGATGCACAGGGGTGTCTGCTGCTGCTGCTGCTGATGCGGATAGTACAGATGGTGCAGCAGCAGCAACAGCAGCAGCACCCGCTAGAGACTGCTGCCTGCACGTAGCGCTCGTACTGCTGCTGCTGCTAGTGCTGCTGCGAGGTGTGCTAGTGCTGTCTGCTGCTGCTGCTGGAAGCAGCTGCCTGCGCCTGTGCAAGCTCTTGCTGCAGCAGCAGCAAGGGTCTGGAGTTAGCTGCAGCAGCTCGCTACAGTTGCTGCTGCTGCTGTTGCTGCTGCAGGAATGGCTGCTGCAAGAAGCACATTGCTGCTGGTAGGCCAGCAGCTCTGTCAAGACCTTATGCAGCAGCTGCTGCAGCTGCTGCTGCGGATGCGCTGGTGCTGCCTGCAGCAGCAGCAGCAACGCAGCTTCTCTCTCGTTGCAGTCAAAGGAACCCCAGCGGGGCCCCACAAGCTGCCGCAGCAGAGAAGCACACAGAACCTGCAGCAGGAAATCGCTGTTGCTGCTGTTGCTGCTGCTGCTGCTGCTGCACGCCGCAGCAGCAGACTGCAGCATCTGCTGCCCTCTCTGAGAAAAGATGCAGCAGCAACCTGGCGCACTGCACAAACATATCAGATGCTGCTGCTGCTGTTGCAGCGCTTGCTGCTGCTGCTGCTGCTGCATGAGGCTTGCAGACGGCGCGTCCGCGCAGCTGCAGCTGCTGCCCGCGTCTCGTCTGTGCTGAGCAGCAGCAGCAGCAGCAGCAGCAGCAGCATGGTAGCAGGAGTGCGAGAAGACAACACAATTGCAGCCACAAACAGCATATGCAGTAAGCGCTAGCAGCACCCCAGGCGACTCTGAGCATGAAAGAAAGACAGCTTCGGCTTGCTGCTGCTGCACTGCATCTCCCCCTAGCAGCTGCTGCAGCAGCGCCTGGCACTCGCGCAGCTGCTGTTCGTACATCTCGGTGCTACTCCGGCCAGCAGCAGCAGCAGCAGCAGCTGCTGCTGCTGCTGCATCTTCTTCCGAACTGCGGCTATCATCTGGACGGTCGCTCGCTGCAGCAGCAGCAGCAGCTGCTGCTGCTGCTGCCTCACATGAAGCTGCCGCTGCTGCTCCCGCACCTGGCGCTGTTGCTGCAGATGCATATACGCACGAGAGGCGAGAAAACTGCAGGCAGCAGCAGCAACTGCTGCTGCTGCTGCTGCTGCTGCTGCTGCTGCCCTCTGCGGAGTTCCATAGGAATGGGGCCTTCGACTTCAGTGTTCGCTTCTGTGAAGCAGCAGCTGCAGCAGCTGTTGCCGCTGCTCTAACAGCAGCAGCAAAACTAAAGGAAGGCTGCTCATCTTGCACCGTTGTTGGTGCTGCTGCTGCTGTTGGTGCTGCTGCAGCACCAGCAGCAAGGGCGCCCTGGTCTGTGGCTGCCCCCCCGAAGCGCAGCAGCGGCTGTAGTTGCTGCTGCTGCTGCTGCAGCTGCTGCTGCATTGCAGCAGCTGCTGCTTCTGTCGCTGCTGCTGTGCGAGCCCCAGCAGCAGCAACAGATAGCTCAGCAGCAGCAGCAAACTGCACAGCAAGGCCCAGCAGGACCCATTGAAGACTGCAGCAGCAGAAGTTCAGCAGCACCAACTGTAGCAGCAACACCTTAAGTGCTGCTGCTGCTTCTGCTGCTGCTGCAGCTGCAGAGCAACCACCGGACTGCTGGGGGCCCCTAGCCGCGCCGAGGATAGTAGGGCAGCAGCAGCAGCAGAAGCAGCAGCAGCAGGAACGCCAGCTGCAGCAGCAAATGCATCAAATGCTTCTAATTGCCCAAACTAAAGAAGAGTTAACTGGTAATACGGAAGACATCCAGCAGCAGCAACCGCTGTTGGCAGCAGCAGCAGCAGCAGCAGCTGCTGCTGCTGCTGCTGCTGCTACTGGGCATGCACGGGGTGGGTGGGACTGTGGTGTTGCTGGTTGTCGTCAGCAGTAGCAGCAGCAGCAGCAGCAAAAACAAGAAATGAAACACAAATAATGCGAATTGCTGTATTTTCTTCTGCAGCAGGCCTTCGCGCCGCAGCAGCTGCAGCAGCAACTGCAGCAGCAGCGACGACAACAGCAGGAGCAGCTGCTGCTGCATGGCCAGCTGGCTTGCTGCTGGCCCCCAGCAGGGCGCTAACTTGTGCTGCAGGCATCCACTCTTTCATCTGCTGCTGCCGCTAGCTTGCTGCACCTCCCCCCTTAGCAGCAGCAGCAACAGCAACAGCAACAGCAGCAGCAGCAGCAAGACACGCTGCGCCTGCTGCCGTTAGCTGTAACAGAGCAGCAGCAGCAAACCCCCCTAAGAACGATGAACTTAAACAGCGATGCCGCATCCAACATCCACAGCAGCGGGGCCGCTGCTGCCTGAAGGGAAGCAGTTTGCTGCTGCTGCTGCTGCTGCTGCTGCGGCTCCTGGATGCTGCAGCAAGCGCAACGGCAGCAGCACTTGTAGAGACACCGCCGGAGGCAGCAGCAGCACCTGCTGCGTCCACTCACAGCCGATGCTGCAGCAGCAGCGGCAGCATCGTCGGGCAGCGAAACCAGCAGCAGCAGCTGCAGCAGGATGCTGCAACGCTGCTCTCCACAGGCAGCGCAGGCTGCAGCAGCAGCAGCAGCAGCAGTGCCACAAGGTTGCTGGAGGTTCTGCTGCTGCTCTCGTTGCAATGGACTCGGCTGCAGCAACCGACACGCAGCTTATTGCGGCTGCAGTCGCCCGCGTGCTGCACCTCCAGCGTCAGCAGCAGCAGCAGCAGCAGCAGCAAATACATGCCGCTGCGCCTCTATCTCTCCTTTCATCGCAGATGGATGCCCTGCTGCTGCAGCACGGCATACCCCCTTCTTCTGCTCGGGGGACCCTGCTGCAGCACCTCCTGCTGCAACACTGGCCTGTGCTGCAGCAGCAGCTGCAGCAGCAGCAACTGCAGCCGCCCCTCCAGCAGCAAAGCATGCCCCATCAACCGCCGCCACAGGAGCAGCAGCAAGACGGCTCAGCAGCCCCACGCCTTACTCTAGAAATTGTCGCCTATCATCCTCCACAGCAGCAGCAACAGCAGCAGCAGCAACTGCAGCAGCAGCAGCAGGGCCTGTCTAGGCTTGAGAAGGCCTGCGACGGTGTGCTGCGGCAGCAGGCGCGACATGCGCTGCAGCTGTGGCACTCAGCAGCAGCAGCAGCAGGTGCTGCTGCTGCTGTAGCAGCAGCAGCAGTGGAGCGAAAAGCTAACTCCTCTCTGCAGCGGAGCGTGCTGCAGTGCTGGGTGGCAGCAGCAGCAGCAGCCGCAGCCCGCCGCCAGCAGCAGCAGCAGGAGCAGCAGCAAAAGGAAGCAGCACTTCTCCGCCTCTGCCGCTTTATTCGAATGCGGGCATCGCAGGAAGCGCTGCAGCACCTGCAGCAGCAGCTGCTGCTGCTGCAGCACTGCCAAAGCAGCAGCAGCAGCAAACGGCTGAAAGAGGAGACATTCCGTGCATGGTTCTGTTGCTTCCTCCCGCAGCAGCGACGCCTGAAACAGCTTGCTGCTGCTGCTGCTGCATTAAGAGAGCAGCGGCAGCAGCAGCAGCAGCAGCAGACGTGGCACGCGTGGAGGCAGCAGCAGCAGCAGCATAGCGACAGCAACGCTCTGCGCCTCCGGCTATTTGCTGCGGTGCAGCAGCAGCGGCAGCAGGAGCAGGCGCTGCTGCTGCTTCAGCAGCACAGCCGGCAGCAGCAGCGGCTGCGTGCTGCAGCAACAGCAACACAGCGGCGTGCGTCTAAGCAGTGCAAGGAAGAAGTTATGAAGGAGTGGGTTTCTGCTGCAGCAGCAAGCGAACAAGAAGCTGCTGCTGCAGCACCGCAGCAAAGCGCAGCAGCTACGTTGGCAGTTGTACGCTTTGTGATGCTGCATGCGCAGCAGCAGCAGCAGCAGCAGCAGCAGCAGCGGCAGCAGCGGCAGCGGACGCTGGCCCAGGCTCTTCAGGAGATCAGCAGCAAGAGACAGCAGCAGCCTCTCCCTTCTCTTGTTTTGTTGCTGCTGTCATACGTGCCGCTGGAGCTGCCTATACACCCCAAGCGAATGCTGCAGCACGCACCAGCTATTGCGGATGCGCTGAAAACAGTATGCTGCTGCTGTTGCCGCTGCTGCTGCTGCTGCTGCTGCTGGCTCTGCTGCTGTTCCTTTTGCTTCCGTTTCTGCATTGACAGGAATGCCGGTGTGCTGCTGCTGCTGCTTCTGCTGCTGCCATTGTCCTGTGGGGAGTAGGGGCTGCACCAATTTGCTGCTGTTGTTGCTGCTGCTTTTTTTTGCGGTTGCTGCTGCAGGAGCTCCTGCATACATGCCTCCGTTCGTGGCGGCAGTGGGCTGCTGCTGCTGCTGCTTTCCGGCAGCAGCAGCGGCACCGTTTGCTGCGTCTTGCATTTGAGGCGATGGTTTCTGTTACAGCGCGGCAGCAGCAGCTGCAGCAGCAGCAGCAAGCAGCAGCAGCAATCAGCAGCAAGCTCCTGCTGCAGTCTGCCTGGAAGCAGTGGCGGCAGCGCTGTCTTCGCTACTCATCCTTCCGGCAGAGGTGTCACGCCTTGCTGCAGCAGGTGTGCTGCTGCTGCTGCTGCTGCTGCTGCTGTTGGTAATGGTGTTGCTGCTTCTGTTTGTGGTTCGGGTGCTGCTGCTGGAGCTGCTGCTACGCTGTCGTAGTTCATGCTGCTGCTGCTGCTGTTGCTCACCTGGAGCTGCTGCAGCGATGTGGGTTTGTTGCTGCTGCAGCGTACAGTCTCCCTGCTGCAGCGAGCTGTCTGTGGCTGGCGCGCCTTTGCTGCTGCAGCAGCGGAGCAGCGGCAGCGCGAAGAAGCTGCTGCTGCAGTGCTGCGGCGGCAGCGGCTGCAGCATCTCTTCGGTTTGCTGCAGCTTGTCTTCAGGGTGAGCTCGACCTCTCTCTCCACAGCAAACTCCCAGCTGCCCCAAAGCCTAGCTAGCTATTTGGCTGACTAGCTAGCTAGCTAGCCAGCCAGATAGCTAGCTATGTAGCTATCTATCTATCTATCTATCTATCTATCTAGCTAGCTAGCTAGCTAGCTATCCTTCTTTCAATCTAGCTAGCTGTCTACTTACCTATGTATCTATCTATCTATCTAGCTAACTATCTAGCTGTATTTTTTCTAGCTAGCTAGCCAGCTAGCTGGTCAGGCGGCTTCTTCGCTAGCTAGCCAGCCAGGGTTAGCTAGCTGGCTAGCTAGGAGGAGGAGTGTTGCGCTTGCTGCGGTCCCTTGTGCCGAGATGCTGCTGCTGCTGCTGCTGCTGTATTTGCTGCTGTTGCTGCGCTGCAGAAGCACCGCCGCGCTGCTGCTTGCAAGGAGGCCTCGGCGCTGCTGCAGCAGAAGCATTTGCTGCGGAAGGCCTTTTGCTCGCTCCGGGCAAACGTTGAGTTAGTTCGCTGTTGCTGCTGTACTTGCTGCTGCTGCTGCAGCTGCTGCTGCTCCAGGTGTTGCTGCTGCAGCTGCTTCTCTCTTGCGGGCACCCGCCGGCTGAGACCCATCGCCTCTGCTGCTGCTACGGCTGCTGCTGCTACCACTGCTGCTGCTACTGCTGCTGCTGCTGCTGCTTGTTGCATGCAGGGAGGAGAGGAAGCTCCGGGAGGCTCGGCGCGTCTGTCAGCGGCTGCAGCAGCGGCAGCTGCTGCGACTGTGGTGGACGATTGCTGCTTCTGCTGCTGCGCTGCAGCACATGGCGTTGCTGCTGCAGCAGCGGCGGGAGCAGCAGCAACTGCGCCGCCTCTTTGCCTCCTGGAGAGCAGCAGAAGGCCGGCGGAAGGCGCTGCGGCTGCAGCAGCAGAGGGTGCAGCAGCAGCAGCAGCAGCGGCTGCTGCAGCATGCCATGAGCCTGTGGAAGCAGCAGCTGCAGCAGCGCAGACGAGCCGCAGCAGCAGCAGCTGTATTTGCTGCTGTGCGGAATCGCCTGCTTCTGCGCTATGCCTGGGAGGCCTGGCAGCAAGCAGAGCGGCTGCAGCAGCAAGAAGCACTCCTGCAGCAGCAGCAGCAGCAGCGCAGAAAGAAGCAGGTGCTGCAAGCGTGGATGTCTCTTCTTGTGTCTGTGAGGCTGGTGAGTTGCTGCGCATCTCCTTATTTTGCTGCTGCTGTACTTCTGCTGCCTCTGTGGGGTTGCTGCTGCAGCGCAGCTGTCGCTGCTGCTGCTGCTTCTGCTTTGTTCTTGCTGCTGCTGGTCTGTTGCTGCTACCTCTACACTGTAGCTGTTGCTGCCTCCCTTTTGCTGCTGAGTGTGGCTACCATTGCTGCTGCTGCTGTTGCTGCAGCGGGTGCTGCATGCACGAGGGGTCGTGCTGCAGGGGTTGCTGCTGCGGCTGCTGAGTGCGTGGAGACAGCGTGCAGCAGTGCGGCGTTGCGGTTTGCTGCTGCGGCAGCAGCGGGAGAAAGAGAGGCTTGCTGCGGCCTTCGCCGGCTGGCAGCAGCAGCAGCAGCAGCAGCAGCAAAGGAAGCTCCGGCTGCAGCGGGGGCTAGAGTTGCTGGAGCAGCAGCAGCGGAAGCGACTCCTCAGCGCACTGCGCCGTATGCAAGAAGCAGCAGCACGCAGCCCTCTGGAGCAGCAGGCGGCGGCAGCGCTGCAGCAAAAGCAGCAGCGGCTGCTGCTGCAGCAGACGTGGAAGCGTTGGCAGCAAGCAGCACGGAATCAGCAGCTGCTGCTGCACTTAGGCGACCTTGCTGCTAGAAGCAGGGCGCGCCTCGCGCTGCAGCAGCTCCGCATGCATGCTGCAGCAGAAGCAGCACTGCAGCGAAGTCTCCTGCCCTTTTATGAGAGCAGCAGCAAACTGCTGCTGCGCCGCTTCTTGCTGCAGTGGGCAGCTGCTGCAGCGCGACAGCAGCGCCTGCAGCAGGCTGCAGCAAGCGTCGTGCTGCAGCAGCAGCAAAAATCCAAAGAAGCACTGGGGAGGTACTTTAAGGCTTGGTGGGTCCTGCTGCAGCAGCAACAGCAGTAGCAGCAGCACCACGTCTTGCTGCAGCAGCAACAGCAGCAACAGCAGTAGCAGCAGCACCACGTCTTGCTGCAGCACCAGGCACAAGCCCCCCTCACCTGCCCTTGCATGCTTCTGCTGCTGCTGCTGTTGCGGTCTCTGTTGCTGTTGCTGTTGCTGCCTGTCTGCTCTGCAGGAGAATAGCAGCTCGTCTTGCTGCTGCTTCCCGTCGCCTTGCTGCAGTGGAGGAGAAGCTGCAGCAGCGCGCCGCTTTTGCTGCACTTCGGCTGCATGCGAAGCATGCATCGGTGCTGCTGCTGCTGCTGCTGCTGCTCTCACGAGCCTCACGGTTGGCGTTGCTGCGCTTTGGCTGGCAGCAGCTGCTGCTGAGCTGGGAGAGAGGGAAGCAGCAAGCGGTGAGTTCCTCCCTGCAGCAGCAGCAACAGCAGCAACAACAGCAACAACAGCAGCAGCAAACTGTCGCTTGTGTTGTGCTGCCGTTGTCTTTTTTCAGCTGCAGGCTGCTGCTGGGCTGCAGCAGCGGGAAAAGAAGCTGCAGCAGCGGGTGTTTGCTGCCTGGCGTGAGCAGCAGCAGCAACGGCAGCAGCAGCGAGAGAGGAAGCAGAGGCTGCTGCAGCAGCAACAGCAGCTGCAGCAGATGTACCAAATGCGGCTGCAGCACAGGGTCTTAGTTGCTTGGCTGCAGCGGCTGCTGCGACCCCTGCAGCAGCAGCAAACAGCAGCAGCTCTCCAGGAGAGGTGCAGCAAGAACTTGATGCTGCAGCTCTTGCAAGCGTGGCGGGCTGCTGCAGCAGCAGCACAGCGGCGTCGGCTTGCTGCCGGTGAGGAATCCCTGCAGCAGCTTGCTGCTGCAGCGTATCCTGCTGCTGGCGCTCTTGCTGCTGCTGCTGCTGCTGCCGAAGTTTTCTCATAGTTGGCGCGCTGCGCGGCCGTCTTTCTGCTACTGGGGTTATATCTGCAGTTGCTGCTGCAGTTGCTGTTCCTGCTGCAACAATCCTGCTGTTGTGAATATTCGTGCTGCTGTTGCTGCTGCTGCTGCTGCTGCAGAGGCGGTGCGTGAGAAGTGCATGATGAGGGCTCTTCGTCAGAACTTTCTCTGTTTGGAGAAGACAGCGCGGAAGCAGCAGCTGCTGCGCTTGCGGCTGCTGCATGCGTTGCTGCTGCTGCCGCTGCAGCTGCCGCTGCTGCCGGCCCCCCCCACAGCAGCAGCAACAGAAGCAGAAGAAGCAGCAGAAGCAGCACCACCACGTCTGCCGCTTGTCCCCCGTGCCCTGCTGCAGTCTCTTGCAGGCGAGTTGGCTGCACCTGAGCAGCAGCAGCAACAACAGCAGCAGAAACAGCTGCAGCAGCCGACTCCGTCTACCGCAGCAACCGAGTCTGCAATCTGCCTTCCAGGGCAGCAGCAGCAGCAGCAGCAGCAGCAAGGCTTTTTCTCCCCACCCCCTTTACAGCTTCCAAGAGCCCGCAGCGCCGACAGCAAAAAGGATACGCATGCAGCAGCAGCAGCAGCAGCAGCAGGAGCAGCAACTCCCGGGGACTTGTGGATGTCGCAGGCCTCCACTGCAGCAGATTCTGATGATTTGCTTTCTTCTCGCCGCAGCAGCTGTGCAGTGCTGCTGCTGCTGCGCGAGCTTTCTTCTGGAGCAGCAGCAGCAGCAGCAACAGCAAATACAGAAGCAGTGGACGCATGCATAACTGCCTTTGAAAAGGATGGCTGCTGTCTGCCGCAGCAGCAACAGCTGCTGCTGCTGAGTCAATCAGTGCTGCTGCAGCAGCAGGAAGCAGGTCCTCTCGAGCTAGCAGCTGGCAGCGCTGCTCAGCAGCAGCACGAGCTCGCAATCTATCGCGGCAGCAGCAGCAGCAGCGGGACCAGCAGCAGCAGCAGCAGCAGCAGCACGCAGTGGAAGCTGTCGCTGCCGCAGGAGCTGCTAGCAGCAGCCTGGTATTCTGTGCGCTTGGTGCGTCGCTGCTTTCTTGTATGGGAGCAGCGCAAGGCTGAGGGTTTGCTGCAGCGGCGGCAGCAGCAGCAGCAGGTGCTGCTGCTGCGGAT